ATTTAAATTGACTTCCAGGTCGTTTTTTTATAAAGGGCATTTTCCCCTAACCATATTAAATGCATGCATGCATCATATCAAATTCTTAGAATTTATTAATAATTTCATTTAATATAATAAGACACTATAGGGCTGTTACTAATAAAATAAAAAAAAATCAATTAATTATCAATCAAGGTATTAACAAAACCAATCTTTCCACTGCAGAAGAAACAGAAACAGCTGAAGTGGCATTAGATGCATTTACATAGACAGCTTAAAGGGCACCTATTATGCCCTTTTTACAAGATGTAATATTGATCTTGGGTGTCCCCAGTGTCAAGTTTCAGCCCAAAATACCCAACAGATCATTTATTATAACAGCTGGAAAATGTCATTTTTTGGGGTGTGAGACTGACTTGGTTTAATGGGGATTAAAAAATGAGGAGTGGGTGGATTTTTAGCATTGTAGGGTGGTTGTGTTCACACACTGCCAACACACATTTATGTCCAAACACAGTGTAAAAGTGGATTTTGCATAACAGGTGCCCTTTAATGAAGCATGAATGCATTTACACTGCAAAATTATAACAGCATAAATAATGTTATGAGCTTGGTGTTTTACATCAGTTTAAAATATACAAATATGAAATGTTGGGATGAAAATGCAAAGATAAACTACTTTTAAATATGAAAGTAAGTGACTGTCTTAACAAGTGAGTCATTGAGGCATTCATTCAAACGATTCGTTCAGACAGCTGATTCATTCAACAAAGTGCCTGTCTTTATGAATGGACCAGTGAATCACGGACTCAAATGATTCATAAACGCTGAATCATTCAGTAATGAAACACCGTTGTTCTGTCATGATCTTTGTTTGGGACTAATTTTGTTAACCAAATTGAGCAAAAACTGTCAACATTGACAGTATTGTACTAAAATGTATATTAAGTACTCGTTTGAACTCTTATAAAATCGGTGTCAAATTTACATTTGTGGTTTTCAGGGAAAACGGCACTCTCTTGGTCGTGTCAAGTTGCTTAACTAGGCTATATGTTATAAATATAAAAACTAAGTTGCATTATTACCGCAGTATGTTTCTTCTGTGTGCAGTTGTTTATTTGTTTTGATTTCTCCACGAGATTGTTTCACATACAGACAGGCTGCATGAGCCTCAACTGGCACAAGCTTGTTACTGTTGATTATCCATTATCAATAGCTGTTCACACTGAATGAAATAAAATCAGAAGCATTCTTGCCGTTCTCAGTGCCATCAAAATAAAAGTCCCGTCTTGAACACAACGGCCAAACAGAAAAACGTATTGGCCAATGCCGATATATCGGTCGACCACTAGTGTTAATGTCAAGCCCTGGTTGCCAGTATGTTCAAAACCTGTTTGAGTTTGAGTTTGACGTCGTCTAGTCCTCCGATCTGCTCCCAGCTGACGGGTTTGAAGTCAGTGGCTCCTATACTGCTCCTCAAACACGACGGCTGCACGATCCGCAGCGCCTGCATGAAGTGCTGCATCGACACCAGCTCACTCGCTCCCGCCTGAACAACATCAACAACATCTCAACAAGAGAGGACACAAGAGACTTCTGCTGCTAGAATGGATCTCAGTGACTGTACCTGCGACTGTCGCATGGCCTGCAGCGCTGCTTCTCTACTGAGTGCGCTCAGATCCGCCCCGACGTAGCCACAGGTCATTTCAGCGACAGCATTCAGATCCACTTCAGAGGAGAGCGGCATCTCTCGACACACACTCTTCAGGATACTGCGCCTCTGCAGCAGCGAGGGAGCGCCGACGATCACCTGCAGGACACGCCAGATCCATAAAACACCGCGGCCAAGATTCAAAACAGCTGCTCGTTCAGATACACATGCCTTTGAACAGAGACAGCCAGGAGCATTTCTAGCCATCATATTTTGATCATTTTTTCACACTGTATTGGTAGGCTACTGTCTTCACGTCTATCCAGAGGAGAACTGAGTCTGGTTTCTCCCAAGGTTTTTTCTCCATTCTGACACCGATGTAGTTTTGGTTCCTCTGGCTTGCTTAGTTGGGGACACTTAATTTCAAGTTGTTCTAAACCTGTATAAGTTTCTTTCGTCTGTTCAACATGAAAGAAGATATTCTGAAGAATGTTGGTAACCAAACAGGTGTTGATAGCCACTGACTTGCATGGAAAACAATAATATGAAAGTCAATGGGAACAGAATTAAGAAACTCGTACAGGTTTGTGAATGATGACTGAATTTTAATTTTTGGGTGAACTACGCCTTTAAGAGCTGCTTCGTAGATGACGAACAACAGAAGGCAACTGTAAGTTTTTGTTTCCTGCAGTACGATGGATTGTAGTTGAATATCTCCTAATCCAGTGCTCTTTTTGTTTTGTGTCTTTCTATCCTCTCATCAGGGTTCCCACGCTTCTTGAAAGTACTTGAATTTCAGACATGGATTCAAGGCCTGGAAAGTACTTGAAAACAAACATAGGTCCTTGAAAGTGCTTGAATTAAATTTGAAATAAATGTTGTTTATGGCGCTATTTAAAAATTGTCCTATATGTTCTGTCAAAGACCGAACAAGCGGCACTAATGATTGGGGGTGGAGATGGGGGAGCGCGAAAAAAAAATCTTGTGTGTGTTTGAAAGAGTGGGAACCCTGTCTCATGGTGTGATAAACATCTGCAAATGATTCAGTGCATGAGTGAACTTGTCCGAAAGAATCAAACTGAATCATGAAGGGCCAAAACGCATAGAGACAGACCGCATTTAGGCCATGGCCACACGGGACAATCCAATGCTCTCCATTGACTTTGTATTGCGGGAAGCTGCCTCCCTGTCATTTCTGATTAATAACAAAAAACAGAACAGTGTCTAAAAGCTGCTGTGTGACAAGCTGTACAGCAAACATGCTAAAAACCCCAGAACTACATTTTTATAAGCTGTCGACCACAAAAACACAAATGTTCAAGGACACAAATAGTTGTAGATAATAGTCGGGGTATTTCACGTTGGGCCGTTCAGTTGGATCATTTCTCAAACAAAAGGAAGGTAAGAAAAAGGGACACTGACATAATCTAATAAAATTTAGTTTCTCAGTATATCTCCTCCTCTCAGCTTCACATCGGGTGGTGAAATAATCCTCTGACATGATTAAAATAATTAATGGTTCCTGTCGCCGATTACGTTTCCCTCCAGTGAGCGCAGTTCTCAGAGTAATAGACATGTTGCGCTCTACTTCTGTGTCCTTCAACACTCGTTTTTTTGGTCGACAGCTTATAAAAACATAGTTCTGGGTTTTTTAGCTTGTTTGCTGTACAGCTTGTCACCCAGCAGAAGCCCTCGTGATTGCTGATGCCGTCCATCAGCGTCAGCAGCTGAGCGACGAGCCGGTTCTCTGGAGCGCCGCTGCTCTCCGACCGCCTCGGGCACAGAGAATCGATCTCATCGATCAGCAGAACGCACGGACCCGCCGTCGCCTCCTGCACCTGATCAAACACGCGCCGCAGGTTCTCCTCGCTCTCTCCGGGTCGAGACCCTGTGACTTCCGGCCCGTTTACAGTCACTAGCGTGGCCCCGATGTCCCTCGCCACGCAGCGCACCAGCAGGGTCTTCCCGACGCCGGGCGGCCCGATCAGAAGCAGTCCTCTTGGGCACGACACTCCCAGCTGACGCAGAGTCTCTGGGTAACGCAGAGGAAACGTGATCATTTCTTTCAGCGAGGTGTAAACCTCCTCTAGGCCGCCCGGAGACGCCGCCGAGACCTCCTGACGCCTCTCCAAGTGTTTAACAGTCTGAGCAAGGCTGACCTCCACATGAGTTCTTGCTGTAATCAAACCAGCTTTCTGCGAGCCCGAGTTCACCTTCTCAACCAGCACACACCTGATCTCTGTTTCCGCACCGGACAGGTCCACCAAATGTCCCTGGTGCACATACAGACCCTCCAGCAGCTTGTGAACGCTCGGCTCGGAGACCTTCCGCTTGTGTTCTAGTCTCTGCACAAACACCTTCACGCTCACGCTGGAGAGTCTGGGGCAGGTCAGGGGTGTGATGTGCGCCGGTTTAACCATGAGTCCGGTGAGTGTTTGTGCGCTGAGGTCCGGTGTCGCACACTGGGTGCTGATCTGCAGGAATCCCTCTGCGAGGTCCCGCCGTGGCCATGCGGTGCACAGACAGACCCCCCGCTGAACCCGGATCAGAACCGGAGCGCCCAGCCTCAGGCCTAACCCGGACATCAGAGCCGGACCCATCCGACAGCGCTGCGAGTCCCAGTCCATAGCGTCCCGCCGGAGAACCTTCAGACCCTCCACGAGCGTCATCTCAGAAACCTACAGATAAACAACAGCTCAGTTCAAGAAAACAAGCACAATACTGATCCTCAATAACTCACATTACACTGTATTCACAGTTTTATGTTTATTTACATCAATTGTTGCTACATGTAAAATACAATCATTCTCAACTGAGCGTAACAGCTGGCTCAATCAAAGATTACAATATATAGTCAAAAGTTTTGAACAGTAAGATTTTTTTTTTTTTTGAAGAAGTCTCTTCTGCTCACCAGGCCTGCATGTATTTGATCTAAAGTACAAAAAAAAACAGTAAAATTTTGAAATATTTTTACTATTTAAAATAACTACTTTCTATTTGAATATATTTTAAGCTGTAATTTATTCCTGTGATTTCAAATCTGAATTTTCAGCATCATTACTCCAGTCACATGATCTTCAGAAATCATTCTAATATACTGATTTGCTGCTCAAAAAACATTTATTATTATTATTATGTTGAAAACAGCTGAGTAGAATTTTTTCAGGT